TGGGCTGTCAACAATGCCTAGGGTCATGTTTAGCCAGGAACTTGAGGGCAAGCTGATCGAGCTTTGGAGCGCAAGTTTGAGGCGACCTCCGGGCGGTACAGTTCGCAGGAGCTACGCCGGAGGAGATCGCCATCAAGCTGAATTTGTTTGCTGAACAGCTCCGGGAGGAGGCAATCTATACTGCGTCGATCGTCCATTCCAAAATTGACAACATGAAAACGAAGGCGAAAGGACTGTACGAGACATACACAACGAAAACTGCCACCGGAATGCCTGTTGGCGAGGTTGACAAATATTCGACCTATGATCTGGAATCCGCCTACACAGCGCGCGCTAGCGTGGTCAAATTTCAAGATTGGGCACGCGAAAATGGGTGATATTCGAGGATTTGGACCAACAAAGAGCCTCTCCACTACCGCCGGTGCTACATCAAGCACAGGAAAGCCTCACAGTCTACCTTCAAAGCAAAGTCCCGTGATCGACACTTGTAGGTGTGAATGCAGCTTCACTTTATAAGCCACTTTATGCCTTCAAGGCAAAGCCACTTTCGGCGTAGTGTGGAATCGGCCTTAGCTGGGGTGAGAATGACTTCGTGGAACAAGTGGCAGCGCTTGGAGAAATATCGAGGGGTCAGCAAACTAAATACCTGCAACAGCGATAAAATGTGTCGGTCTGGCTGAGACACTCAGTGCATGATTGTACCTGCAAGAGCCGTGTAGACTCTACACGTAGTGCTAGTGATGCACGCGCAGGTGCCGTACCATGGTATCAGTGATGCTGAAAAAGAGGGCGCGCTGGACGTGATAGTACACATACATACTTGCATGAGCTGTGACCAAACAGCTAAAATAAATGGGCATGCCACGGCTAAAAAAAGTTCATTTCAAGATCGAGGTGATTCCGCCGACGGTAATCAACCGACCTCGCAACGATCGTGTATTCTTACTAGGCTTCGTTGTTGGTGAAGCAGAAATCATCCAGAGCTAGCAGACGACAAGCATAGCAGCTCCCGTCCTGTGGAGAAAGTCAAAGCGTTTGAGATGAGACGCGATCAACTTTCAACCTTCCTTGAAATATTTCGGAACGATATTTTTGCCTCCATTGACATCAGCGACGACGAGGACTTCATCTCTGCATGAAAACTCTCAGTCCAACTGTCCTGAAACGTTACTCTACTCTTCAGACTATCATACTGTGTTCTAAGTTTTGAATGGCTTAGCTTATGGAGTTGTCAGTAACAAGTGACAAGTCACTAGTCAAACTGCGACAATTTCGATGACGCGCAGGAAGTACAAGCGAGTCACATCACAGCATACACTAACAAGCTTGGAACAACACTAACCCGAGAGAACATTGCCTCACCTTAGAAGAGTTTTTTTTTATTTATACTATGTTCACATACCCAACTCATAAATAATACAGAAAGACAATGGTACTGAGACAAGGACAAACGTGACAACTACTGAGAAGGGGCTGCACCGAGGTGCAGCAGTGATGGTGGGGCATTGATGGCTCTGCCGACCTAAGGTCTCGGGATCACGGCCAGAAACATGCACCAAAAACAAAAGATAGAGCTGTAAGGGTCAGCAAAAATAAAAAGAAAGCAAGGGCAAGCAACAGCTAGTACTAGTGTGCAGCGCATTCATAGCAATGGGAGTCGTTGACGGGGCACTAGAATGTAGGTGGGTCGACAGGCAGAATTTCCGTGGACCATCGCCAATCCTGTCGGCGGAGGTATTCGTTGACATTGCACTTAAACTTTTGAAGATTTTTGCGAGTTGGGGCGGAGTCTAGAAAAGCTGGCGGCAGGGAATTCCACAGCTTGATTGCACAATGTAGGAAGCTGCGGGTTCCTGGAGCTGTACCACTTATCCACGCCAGCATCCCAGAAGACGAGGGCCATCACCCCATAACGCCTCAAATGATCATCTTGAAAATAGTCAAGTTACAAGCGTTGATAAAACAGCCAGCTATGTCCTCAATTTGCAAGAACTACACACCGGTACTATGAGACTGGTCAATGACAAGAAAATGTCAATGACAAGAAAATGCAGAAATTATACCGAGCGAAAATGGGAGAAGTGTCACGTCAACTCTTCAATGTGGCAGAAGCAAGCGCAAGACTTAGGGCAACATGCTCGGATACGCACCGAGCAGAAGCAAGCTACCCTACGCTACAGATGAGGTTGACAAACTCCCAGAGTTGCAGAGGAAGCTGCGTATGAATCTTAATAGCACACCAAACATGAATAGAAGAAATGAGCTGAGAGTGCATCGAAGGAAATCTTGGTTTGACAGCTGGCGTTATAGCATCTTGAGAGCCGCATCGGAGAAGTGGAGTCGCTCCAGAAGTGACCAATGATGTTTTCAGCGATAAAAAAGCTGAATCCAAAGTGCGCGCGAGATTTACCATTGTAGACAACGGCAAGGCTGTGATTGGGCCAGGAGAGCAAGTGGATAGATTAGCTGAACTTTACACTGGAAATTCTCTCCTACTGCTCCAGAGCCAGCGGTTACGCCATTGACAGGAACACCGAAACCTTTCGAGAAACCCCCGATTTCCACAGCGGGGGTAGCGTACCCAATGGGTCGTCCACAAGTCAGAATGATAGCGTTCCCTTCGACAGCGGTATAAGTAGATAATCAAGCGAGGTACAGAGGGCTTGATGGCTGATCAAAGCCCAAGGGTCCAGCCCGAGGGCCGTAGGCCCAAGGGCTGGGCCCGAGGGCTTTGATCAGTCATCGATCCCGACTGTACCTCGCTTGAATATGCTTCAGACGATCCCCAACATTTTTTTAATTTTGAATCAAACTCGCTTCATTCTAGTTCTTTGGGTGATTTCAGTGCAGCCTGAAGTCTAAAGTGCATGTCGTTTTCGTCCCGTTCGTAAGTTTCACACAGAGATAACAGCAAAGGGAAAGTAATGTGAGTGGACGAAAAACCTGTTTCGTGAGAAATTTCTCAGGACCGTGACGTGTCAAGAGCCAGACGTGGCTGAAGAGTCACGGAAGTATTTTCACTTCGACCATACACGCCTTGCTCACGCTGCATACTGCTGAGAGCTCTGCGGTGCTGGAGCTAGATTTCCAACTCCACAAGTCGTGTCAAGAGCCAGACGTGGCTGAAGAGTCACGGAAGTATTTTCACTTCGACCATACACGCCTTGCTCACGCTGCATACTGCTGAGAGCTCTGCGGTGCTGGAGCTAGATTTCCAACTCCACAAGTTGTGTCAAGAGCCAGACGTGGCTGAAGAGTCACGGAGGTATTTTCACTTCGACCATACACGCCTTGCTCACGCTGCATACTGCTGAGAGCTCTGCGGTGCTGGAGCTAGATTTCCAACTCCACAAGTCGTGTCAAGAGCCAGACGTGGCTGAAGAGTCACGGAAGTATTTTCACTTCGACCATACACGCCTTGCTCACGCTGCATACTGCTGAGAGCTCTGCGGCGCTGGAGCTAGATTTCCAACTCCACAAGTCGTGTCAAGAGCCAGACGTGGCTGAAGAGTCACGGAAGTATTTTCACTTCGACCATACACGCCTTGCTCACGCTGCATACTGCTGAGAGCTCTGCGGTGGTGGAGCTAGATTTCCAACTCCACAAGTCGTGTCAAGAGCCAGACGTGGCTGAAGAGTCACGGAAGTATTTTCACTTCGACCATACACGCCTTGCTCACGCTGCATACTGCTGAGAGCTCTGCGGTGCTGGAGCTAGATTTCCAACTCTACAAGTCGTGTCAAGAGCCAGACGTGGCTGAAGAGTCACGGAAGTATTTTCACTTCGACCATACACGCCTTGCTCACGCTGCATACTGCTGAGAGCTCTGAGGTGCTGGAGCTAGATTTCCAACTCCACAAGTTGAGAGCCACCGCATCCCCGACCACCACCCCTATCGGTTTCTTGTTCTTATACTATAAGTAACAGCCAGATCACCTTGAAAAGACTGAGATTGGGCATGATCAAGAGTACATGAAAAGGTTTTCATGTACTCTTGGCATGATCAAGGCTTTGATGGTTTTGTCGTACAGTTGCCAATGGCAGCGGGCTTTGATGGTTTTCTCGTACAGGTTGTCAATGACAGCGGGCTTTGATGGAATATCAAAGCCCGCTCTCCGAGGCTGCTGATTGGTCGTAGCCTAGCAAAGGGCACGTGGGTCGTTTGAATGCTGTGTCAAGTGAGTGGAAGGAAGGCAGCAGAGACGCAACAGGGGCGGGTCAGTTGGCCGACTCTTCATCGTAGATGATACGTATGCCCTTACACTCGGTTCGACAGCGGTGCCTCATAAGTTGCACAGAGCATTGTACATCAACTCGTCCATTTGTTGGTGGATGATTGTGGTCTTTGTAGTTACGTTTGCGTGAATGTCCTCTCATCGAGAATACCAGCCGTCGACTCCAACCGCCCGTTACAACCCAACCCAAGACGATGCCATGAAATTCGACACTCCGCCTTCCACTTGTCCATCCGGTACGCCGTGAAATACTTTCTGGATTACTGCATGGCCTCGGCGCTGCGCCACCGTCAATTACGCCGACTCTATGTCTTCAATGTTCTCAGCAGCCATACACGGCGAATTGAAATCGAGATGTTGGAAATGGACCGAAATGAGCCGGCTAACGAGGTGACTGTACGCACGAGCACGTGACCGCTTGTTCAGCCATGTTCGATTAGGAATATGGGCCGACCGCTACATCGCAGCCTTCGCATAGCTTCCCCCTTTATTGATCTTCGCATATTTTGAGCCACACAAGTTGTGTGGAATGTTGCTTTGCGTCCTTGAATCGTGGTTTGACCGAATTGTAAAATGGTTTTGCCAGGAATGTCATCGACATCGACATGCAAGAACATCCGCCAACGTCCTTGACAGCTGAGACTTAACTTTCAGGTCATGTTTATCTTGGTTGCGCTCACTTTTCCCTCCTTGTGTTATTTCCTTAACTTAGAACCTTCCTGTTTGGAATGAGGTAGTGACGCACCTCTAGCTCCTTGGAGTTCATGTCTTCCTCGACGCGACAATGGTCTAAACTAACTGTCAGTACCTTCAACGTTCGCGGCCTATCATCAGGCATAAAGAAGCAACAGCTGGCTTCCGATTTGCAGCGCTACGACGTTCAAATTTGTAGCTTGCAAGAGACGAAAATTCAAAATGGATTTGACGATGTTATTGGCGACTACCGAATATTCTGCCTCCCTTCAGACTCCCGACATTATGGCCTGGGGTTCTGCATTCATCGCTCGCTCTGGGAGCGGGTGCATCGCGTTTGGAGCGAGTCGGACCGTGTTGCAGTTCTGCAGATTCGCTCGTCGGAAAAGTGCTTTATCTCCATCGTCAACACTTACGCTCCGACCTCAGCGAAAGTCGCACAAGACCATGGCTGTTTGGAGGACTTCTACTCATCGCTTGGCACGGCTCTCAGTAAGGTACATTCCTCCTCAGTTATTCTAATTTCGGGAGACTTCAACGCCAAGCTTGGTGGAATGAGTTCTCAGTATCGGTGCATAGGACACTACGGACGCGGGCGACGGAATTTTAGCGGAGCTGTCCTGGCCGACTTCTGCGACGCACATCATCTCTTCGCTTGCAACACTGCGTTTCAGCATCCAGCGCGGCACCAAACAACATGGACTGGCTGGAGAAAAGGACCTCAAGATGGTGTGTCTATCCCTATATACAATCAAATAGATTATATATTCTGTCTTCATCGACAACGACAGCTACTTTTAGACAGCCGGTCATATTCTGGTACGCTGGTGGAGTCTGATCACCGACTAGTGGTTGCAAGACTCGATCTCTCTCGCCTACGCCATGTGTGGAGCTCTGTTGAGCACGGTAAGAAACAGCGTGCCAGCCAAAGAATACTGGTTGGTGGCCTCTCGGACCCAACCATGCGAAGGAGGTATTGTGATGAGCTGGAATCCTCTCTCACCGGCAACCGGCTCGACAACACTAATTGCCCATCAACTACCTGGAATGGTATTCGTCAAACGGTGATTACAGCAGCGCGGAACACTCTGGGCGTTGCTGCACCCAGGAAGAGAGGTGGAAAGTGGATCATGGACGCCGACACGCTAAAAATGTCCTGTGAGAAGCGTCGACTGAGACACCGGATCCGTGATGAAAAGAATGCCGATGAAGTTAGCATCCTAAAGCAACAGCGCAACAAACTCTCCCACATGATCCGACAACACGCCTGTGCAAATGCAGCCAGCCATCTAGATGAAAAAGCTCGTGAAATTGAAAATCAAAAAGACGGAGCCCAGATGTTCCGTGCTGTGCATCTACTGCAGCGCAAAAAGCAGTCGCCGATAGTGGTGAATGATGCCAGCGGGAAACTGGTCCTTCGCCCGATGGAGTCAGCTTCAATAATCAGAAATCACTTCTCAGCAGCCTTCGCTGATTCCACCTGCGCACCTCTACACCAAGAGAACAAACCTCTTGGGATACCGATAAGCGAGGTAGAAGTCAGGTCAGCAGCACGACGCCTAAATAACGGCAGAGCGATTGGACCCGACGACCTACCTGCTGAACTTATAAAATATGGCCCAGCACCACTTCACCGTCACCTTGCCGATCTATACACACGTGCCATCAACTGTGGTGATCCGCTGTCGGTTGGCCATGGAACTCTCGTCCCACTTCAGAAGCCTGGGAAGCCTAAAGGTCCTCCATCTAACCTGAGGCCCATTGTGCTTCTCACTGCACTTCGGAAAGTGCTCGTGATGGCGGAACCTGGAATTTCCCCAATCAGTGCTGAAATCGTATCCCTGCTCGCCTTGATGCAGCAGCAGATGAAAGCGGCTGAGGCACGCGAGACTCGCCTCACCACACTGGTCGAAAACGCAACGCGCGACAACCAGGCACCACCCAGCACTTCGACATCCTGCAGTCAGAAGCCGATTTCTGTCGAGCGACCGGTGTTGCTCAGCACTGCAACCATGGCCGATTTCACGGCATGGGAGGAGGCTTGGAGAGATTATGCTGTGTGCCAGCACCTCGCCAGCCAAAGTCGTGAGACTCGGGTGTCCGCTCTTCGCCAGGCGTTCGATGCCGACATTCGTCGTTTCATGCGCGAAGATGTGATTGTCATCTCCCACAGTGCCGATGCTCCGGAGATCATCATAGCAGTAAAAGCGTACATCCGACGCCAACGGAACCCCCTCCTAGATCGAATTGCGTTTTACGATAGAAAGCAGCAGCGCAATGAGTCATTTGACTCCTTCTTTACTGCAATGAGGGAGCTGTTTGCACAGTGCGATTTCCCTGATATGGAGCTGTGCAGTACGTGTACACCTCAGCTATGCAGTACTTGTCCCCAGAGCCTCCGCAAGGTGACGGACGACATGATGCGAGACCGCATCGTAGTTGGCATAGCCAACGACGACACGCGCCATAAGCTCCTGGCAGCTCCGTCCCTCACCTTGGAAACCGCGGCCAAGATCTGCAGGGCTGAAGAAGCCGCACAGTAGACCGGTGACGGCATGGTACCGGCATCCGTGAATGCCGCAACAAGGTCATCGTATCAACGCAGCAAATCCGCTTTGGTTAGTAAGCCGAAATCTGCTGCAGCTGACAAGCCGGCGAAGTGCTCGCAGTGCGGACGATCCCAGCACACGAAGTCAATGTGTCCTGCCAAGGGCAAAGAGTGCCGTAAGTGTAAGGGCAGGGATCACTTCGCGGCAATGTGCCGCAAGACCATCGCATGCCTCACCATTCACGCAGTGCAGGCTGGTGACAAAGTGATGCTGTCAACACGTCTTGACGACAACGACCGGTCGTGCACGTTAGAGTGGTTGCCAGATACTGGCTCGGATGTTGATGCTATTGGTGCTAGTCATCTCCGCAGACTTGGTGGCAGTGTAGCTGATCTGGAACCTGACCCCGACCAGGTTGTCGCCGTGAACGGTCAGCCATTGACCAGCTTGGGAACTGTTCCCGCCAGGGTTGTCGCTCGTGATGTCACGCACACCACTCGTCTACATGTGTATGACGAACTCAGTAGCGCATTGCTGTCGCGCTCCTCGCTCAAGGCGTTAGGTTTCTTGCCGCCTAACTGGCCACAGATCGCTTCAGTGACACAAGGGACATCCCGTTCTGCAGAGCACAGCAACCCTACACCAGACCAGCGTGTACGTATCCGCCAGGACCTCCTCGACGAGTTCGCTGACGTATTTGCAGAGGACACGCTCCGACCCATGGACGGTCAGCCGATGCACATCCAACTCGCGCCTGACGCCCAGCCGTTCAAGTTGAACAATGCCCGTTGGTTACCTTACGCCTATCGTGACCAGGTGAAACTCCAGCTGGACAAGATGGTCGCAGATGGCATCATCGCACCGGTCTCAGAGCCAACGGAGTGGTGTCACCCCATCGTCATAGCCGAAAAGAAAGGCACTGCAGAAGTCCGGATGACGGTGGATTTCACTAAGCTTAACAAGCAAGTCGCCCGGCCCGCGCATCCCATGCGCGCACCTCGCGATGTTGTTTCTAACCTTGGTAATGCCCAGTATTTTACCAAGCTGGATGCTCGCCACGGCTACTGGCAGGTCCCCTTGGACGAGGAGTCCAGAAGCTTGACCACATTTATCACACAGTGGGGCAGATATCAGTACCTGCGGAACCCACAAGGTCTGATTTCTGCTGGCGACGAATTCAACCAGCGGACCGATGCAGCATTCGCTGGTATTGAGCAATTCTCCAAGGTCGTTGATGACTGCCTGGTCTTCACTGATTCCTTTGAGCAGCACCTGGAACGAACTCGGGAAGTTCTTCAACGCGCTCGTCGGTATGGTATCACCCTGTCAGCCAAGAAGTTTGCTTTCGCCGAGACCGAGATCAATTTCTGCGGCTACGTGATAAACAAGTCCGGCTGGAAGACAGACCAGGAAAAGACCCGCGCTATCACCGACTTCGAGATCCCTGCCAATCGCACTGACTTGCGATCATTCATGGGTCTCGTCAACCAGTGCAGTGATTTCAGCTCAACCATCGCCGAACACGCAGCGCCTCTCCGCGGTCTGCTGAAAGCCAAGAATGAGTTTCTCTGGCTACCCGAGCACACAGTCGCTATGGACGCTGTGAAGCAAGCACTTGTTGACCCACCGTTATTGGCATTCTTCGACCCGTCAGCACAGACACGTCTCGAGTGTGACGCCGCTAGGACCAAGGGTCTCGGATTTGGCCTCTGGCAGTACCAGAATAATTCGTGGCGCCTCATTCAGTGCGGCAGCAGATTCATCACCGACACCGAATCCCGGTACGCAATGATCGAACTGGAGATGTTGGGTGTCGCCTGGGCCATCCGAAAATGCCACACCTATCTTGCTGGCATGTCGTTTCATGTAGTTGTTGACCATCAGCCCCTTGTTCCAATATTGAACACCTACACACTGGACCAGGTTGAGAATCCTCGGCTCCAACGTCTGATGACCAAGGTACAACTCTATCAATTCGACGTCTCGTGGCGCAAGGGCTCTGAGCATGCCTTTGCTGACGCCTTGTCGCGTGCTCCAGTGCAGAACCCGGTTGCCGATGATCTCCTGGGAGAAGCCGACTCGCTATCTGGACAAGCCATCCGTGCATGCCTTCAGCAGGATGACTCCGGATCAGCACTATTTGGTCTTCCGTTCCACGAGCTCCGCGATGCCGCTCAGTCTGACGTTGATTACGTGCAGTTAGTCTCATATATTCGTGACGGCTTCCCTTCTGCCAGACGTCACATGCCACCTGCTCTCGCTCCGTATTGGAATGGCCGTGAGCACCTCACCCTGGATAACGGCATTGTCCTCCGTGGCTCTCGTCTTGTTGTGCCCCAGTCTCTACAACGCCGTGTACTGACTGACCTGCATTCGTCTCACCAGGGCCTGGAACGTACCAAGCGTCGTGCGCGTCAAGTGGTTTACTGGCCGAGGATGAGTGATGACATCACAGCCCTGATCCGTGCCTGCCCTGTCTGTCGTGAGCTCCAACGTTCGCAGCAGAAGGAGCCATTGATGCGCGAGCCACAGCCGACATTTCCATTCGAGTATGCCAGCGCAGATCTCTTCTCCTGTCAAGGCTGGCAGTTCCTGGTATATTCTGACCGTCTGTCCGGCTGGCCGTGTGTAGCTCGAATTGGCCGTACCGCTACCTCCCATGACATCATTTGTCACTTCCGCCGTTGGTTCGCAGATGTTGGCGTACCGCGCAAGATATTCACTGATGGAGGCCCGCAGTTTGCCGCTTCCCGTGTACGTGAGTTCTGTGAGCGTTGGGGTGTGGAACAGTGCTTTTCCACCCCACACTACCCTCAATCCAATGGCCACGCGGAATCAGCAGTGAAAGCAGTGAAACTGCTCATTGAGAAGACGACCCGGAATGGAGATCTGGATGTAGACTCCTTCCAACGCGGCCTGTTGGAGTGGCGCAATACTCCCCGCCCTAATGGCAGCAGCCCCGCCCAAGTGTTGTTCGGTCAGTCCCTCCAGTCGTTTGTGTTCGCCCACCGTGCCAGCTTTGATCGACACTGGATTGCGTCTGCTGAAGCTGTGGACTCTGTAGATCCGAAAACACATTATGACAAATCGGCACGCTCTCTCCATTCTCTACGGATTGGCACCCATGTTGATGTTCAGCACCACCAGACCAAGCTGTGGTCCATGCGTGGCGTCATTGTAGCAATTGGCAGTCGGCGCGACTACTTCGTCAAGATGCCCAGTGGCCGTGTCCTCTGGCGTAATCGCCGCTTTCTCCGTCCGTATGTTCCCCCGTGTGTTGACTCCGCTAGTCATACCCCTTCCCCAACTTCATCAGTACGTGTACCTACTGACGCCGCTACCCAGCCTGTTCGTCGTAGCACTCGTATTCGCAAGACACCTGATCGTCTCACCATTACATCTACGTCTGGACAGTCATATGTGTGACAATGTTTGTCTGTAGCATTTGGTCTCATCTTGACATCATGCCTATGTCATTTCATCTCGTCTGTTATGACTTTATTTATTTATTTTTGTTGAGACAAAACCAGGTTTTATCTCAGAAGGGGCGTGAGAGTATAATAATTATGTTACTGTGTTTGTTATTTTGTGTCCGGTTGACACCCATGGAATTTTATCTTCGAAGGGGCGTGTTATGTTATGACGTAATGCCGTACAACTTTAGCTCTACTGTGTATGCACGCACGCATATCTTTGAAGGTCTTCTCTGTCGTTTACAGATTGAATCTTGTCAGTTTTTCTACTTCGTATATTCTAACCAATAAACTACTTGTCTCTTGTCTACCGAACCTAACACTGTCCATCATTGCCCTAAATCGCATCAGGCATGCAGTCAACACGTTCCTGTCTCCGAACCAGAGTGGCTTCCGCAGTGGTAGGAGTACGGCTGATGTTGTTTGGTCCTACAGATGGATCGCGGCACGGTGCCAGCGAGTGAAGGAATCATTTGGCGTGCTCGGCATAGACATGTCGAAAGCGTTCGACACAATATCCAGGCACCGTTTGCTCACTATATTAGCTAGCTTCCTTGAGAATGATGAGGTCACCATTATCTCCTACCTACTCAGGAACACGTCCCTTGAGGTCCGGCTACCTGGAGGGAAGAGCGAGCAGTTCCAGACCACCCGAGGCACACCACAGGGTGACTCACTATCACCTGTCCTATTCGTTATCTACCTGGAGGCAGCGCTTCGGGAGGTGAGACAGATTATCTGCGCAAGACCCGACCTAGATGTCAGGCTCGGCTTGCCAACTGATACAGAGTACGCCGACGATGTCGACTTCCTATCGTCTGACTGCAAACGTATTCAAGAGCTCCTGCCCGACATTGCAAAGTGCCTCAAAGCCTGGGACCTCAACATCAATGAATCTAAAACAGAACTCACAAACATCACACGGCTGAACGACAGAGTGTGCGAGGAATGGCGCCTCACTAGGAAGCTGGGCTCCCTCATTGGTGACCACGAGGATGCTGCGCGGAGAATGCAACTCGCCACAGCTGCCCTGCACCGGCTCTGGGCATTATGGATACGAGGTTCCATTGTAAACGAATCGCTGAGAGTACGGCTATACAAGGCATTCGTCTTACCGGTCCTGTGCTACAACAACGGGACTTGGGGCCTCACTGGCACCGCTATGCATAGAGTTGATGCGTTCCACAGACAACAACTGCGGAAAGTTATTGGCATACGGTACCCAGCTAAGATCAAGAATAACACCCTGTACAAGAGGACAAACTCAACACCACTTGGTATCTCGATCCTGGGAGCCCGCTGGCGTCTGTTTGGGCACGTGCTGCGGCTGGACCAGAGTGCACCGGCGAACCTGTCAATGTGCTCCTACTTCAAGCCATCCACTGAGCCTACCTGGAGGGGCAGGCCGCGCACAACTCTGCCGGTCGTGCTCAGACACGATCTCGAGCTGGTTGGGAGGACCCTCAAGACCTCGGCAGATCTTGAGGAGCTGAGGAGCATCGCCCAGAATCGCGGGGCGTGGACCTACCTCAGCGGCCGTATCCTGGAGAGATATGTTGCTGCTCACAGATGAACCCTGATAATGATCAGCAAGTTCAAATTCAACTCGGTTGAGCTGCTCGTTTGCTTGTTTTAATTGTATTCTATTTTCGTCACGCGTTTTATATCGCATATGTTTTATATCGCCATCAATATCCTGTTTGGCTGTTGTCGCTTCGGCTTATGCGAAAGCTATACATGCTGTGTATATCTACATTGCATTGATGCCAACGCGGAGAAGCTTCTAATAATAAGAACCTTCCATATTGGAAGGCTGTTGGAGTGTTTCATTTGTCCTTTTTTCTTCTATACACTACATTGAACAAGAAAATTGATTTTATAATTATATTATGTATCTTATTGAAATTGAAATTTTTACCGCCCACATCCGCACAAGTCCTTGGCTACAAAAAAATTTAAATCTCTCCAAATCTCTCCAAACCAAACTTCAAATTCCTTTCCAAATTTTCGTCCAGGAGGGCATCTTCAGGGATATGTGACTCCCGTGAACAAAACAACAGTATAACTAGAGAAAAAGGAATTAGGGAGGTTTCACTCTACGTAATTACGTATGAAAATCCGTATGTCGTACACGCCGGGGAGCGAGGGCAACTTTCATACGTAAATCTCTCTACGGATTTCCGTAGGAAAGCTCTTTCCTACGTTGGGTCCTCCGTAGGACTTTTTGAAATATTTTTTCGCATTTTCCGCATTTGTCCATGGCAACATTCAAGCCGCGCGAAACACAAGGTACACACACCGTACACCACGTGCATAATATCATGGAAAACGCGGTTTCGGTTCATGGTGCATACGGTGGGCGCATGCAGCCAACGCGTCTCCAAAGCAACAACGCATGTTTAGCAGTCGTGGAGAAATCACGTAGAGCGAAACCCAACAGCTCTGATTTTTAGGTATGAAAATTCCGTGCAGTTCATACGTTATTTTCATACGTAATTCCGTAGAACGAAACCTCCCTAATAACAATAACGTGGCAATATACCAGGAGCATCATAACTAGTGCTAAGAATTGAGACTAACATTGTAGATAATGTCACATATTCAGAAACAAAAACAGAGCCTACCCACAATATCGCACGCCAGGTAATAGCCTAAAAACAGATGTCTCAACTTGCAAGATCTCAAGTCAGGTGATGATTGGTCAGCGTGAAGTGCATGTCTCAACTGGTGCGATCGCCAATTAGATGTGAAGGTGACGAGGCCAGAAAGAGAGAGAACGAGAGAGAGACAGAGGCAGAGAAAGATAGTGTGTGTATGTATGTGTTTGAGTGTGTACGCACGTGTGTGTGTGTGTGTGTGTGTGTGTGTGTGTGTGTGTGTGTGTGTGTGTGTGTGTGTGTGTGCGCGTGCGTGTGTGTGTGGGGGAGGGGGAGGGGGGGGGGGTGTGCGTGAGTGTGAGCCTCACGGGTGGTAATTGCATCCATTCGATGAGATGGTCTTGCCCACAGTAACCATGAAAGGTCCTGTTGTCCTGATGAATTTATGCCGATAGTCTCCATCCACTGTCACAGTTGATTGCTTGCTTTCTGCTTCTGATTTCGGTTGCTTTCATGTACTTGCGGGAAGACAGCAAAGATTCCCTTCCGAGAATCTTGGCGTGGTGGAAAGGCTTGAAGTTAGGCGATGATGTTGGAAATTCTCGGTGGTCAGACTTGTAATGCCCCCCCCCCCCCCCCCCCAGGAGTCTTCACTGCCCTCACCCTTGCCTCTCGATAATGTTCCTTGAATCTTTCCCTGACTGGACGCTCGGTTTCCCCGACGTAGAGGTCCTTGCACAATGTACATGACATACAATAAACTACATTTTTCGTCAGACATTCACTGCTCTTGACATCCGCGTCGCATGCTCTGCACACCATTGGCCTGCCAGGACCACGCTTCACCTTCGCACGCTGCACATCACGCGGACACATACGCGTACCAAACGACGAGCGGACAAGTCTACGCTTCAATGACGGACCAGACGTGAAAGCGAGACGAACATCTGGACTATACTGACGAACACGGCGAGAAACCCGAGCGGCCAGTGCATCATTGATGAATGGGAGCTTGAGAATTAATTGATTCGGCTTCTTCCACGGATTCATCTTGACTCGATTCGGTTTCTTTGCTGTTTTAACTGCCCGCTGAATTTTTCGATCTGGATAGTCGTTGGCTTCCAGTAACGCCGTGATTTTCTGGATTCCAGCTCCTCTTCCCGCCTCCGTTGAACCGTTGGAGATTGCCCGACGACACTGATTAACTGCGACTGCACGCTTTGTTGACAAAGGGACAGATGACAGGAATGACAGGTGAACTCCACTGTGTGAAGGCTTGACAAACAGTTCCCACTCCAACGTACACTCGGGACTGACACTCAACGTCAAATCCAGGAAGTCGATGCTCCTGGTGTCGTTGTCGGAATGTGTGATGGTGAATGTTATGAAGGGGTGTTGGTTGTTGAGATGGGCAACAAACCTGCTCAGAGCCGCTCGTCCATGTCACCACAGCATCTTATTGAAACTTATTATTATTGGAACATGGATGTGGCAAATTGGATCGAGGCCTTTGGCCTCTGGTTGGTGGATCTGATCTATCCTCCACCAATGTTAAGGAGCCGCATCTGACGCCTGATCATAAGGTGGTGCGTCCCACAGAAGCGGAAAGGTGGTTCTTGACAAGGGAGTTGTACGACTCCTTGTTTTTGACCTGCCCGGTACGCGAACTCCGTCGAATTTATTTTTATTTATTTATTAAAACACTGATGTTGAGCCAATAGTATTTTAAAAGTAAAGAGGGATGGTAGTTTGTAGGCGGTGAAAATAGGCTGGTAATCTATACCTTTGCATGCAGAGACGCAAATCCACAGAATCAAGTAGACACTTCCGTCTATCAAACGTTTTCTTTCCTTTCTCTTCAGGATAGTACAGGAAATGTTGAAAATTTGGAAAAAACAGGAGTTTACAAACAATACATGAAGAAAAAAGTCAACACTTCAATATAGGTGAAAAAATGACTAACTTTTCTTATTGTCAACAAACTCCAACGCAGCCACTTACACATTAAGCAAACTACAGTTCTCAACTGCAAAAACGGTCTCTTCACTGCAACTAAAATTTAAATTTAAATTAACATTACACCAAATTGTCGCCCCTGGCCCATCATGAGGGTAGTAATAAAGGTGTTAAAAACATTGCCAAACAAAAGCTCCAAGTTGTAGACAAACACGTTGAACACAACAGGAAACACTTGTCGCATTTTCAAAATTTGAATACGTATCTTCTGGAAGTGACGACAACGATCAAAAGGAGGAAACGAGGAAGACCAATAAGCCAAACGAAAACCATCGTGAATTCAACGGATGTTAGCGGTGTCGACAGGAGTAACAAAGCAAACAAGTCCAACGTAAGAGAACAACGGCAGGCGTCGAAGGTTGCGGAACTAGATGATCGGACATCGTCCATCAAGCATCATTTTTCGAGCAGACTGACTAGTTGTCGTAAGTTGTATAGTGATGATATCTTTTCGATTCTAACTCGTTGAAGGTCTAAGTTACATCTTGCTGTGTGGGATCAACTGTATATTCGTAAACTAGTTCCAGAACTTGGTTTACAGAAGGAGAATGTGTTATCGTTGCAATTGTTTTTTTCGTCGTTTTTCTCCATGCTCAAGCCTCTTGTACTGGCAAAATACCATCTTGATCAATAATAGAAATGCAACTAAAACCCAAAACAAATTTAAAGTGAAAAGAACTCGAAGCAAATGAAAAAAAGAAAAAGCCAAAAGAAAATTACCCAACCAGCCGCACACGGAACACACAAGAGGCAACAGCATAACTACGTAAACTTGCTCAAAAAACGTTTTATTGATATCCATTAACTTGGGCCACCAACACAGCTAGTGCAGCAGACAAAGCACCAGCCTCCAGAACCACGGGATGTCCGAACAGCTTCCTGCAGCCTCGGAGACACATAGTACAAGACAGAAATAGCAAGAAAGGCAACTTACATCGAACATAGTCAATGACGTGGCAATACTGCTCGGGCTTTTTTGCTGCCAGAAGAGCGGCCATTCTTGCGTACAATTCCGATGCTGCCTTCCCCACCCCACCACTTGCCAATATCACCACTGGAACAAAAGATACCAGCTCCACGTTCCTGACGCATTCCTCATAATGTCGTCTTTTCTCCTTCTCGTGGCGTTGGTACACAGTAGCACGTGGTGCAGATCGATTTGAGGAAGCATGTGGGTGGTTGAACATCCGAACATCAAGAAGGATTCGCTCAAATCGATATCTCAACTGCTCGCAAGTCAGCGGCTGCAACACAGGTTCAATGGAGATATTTGAGCACACCTGATCCAACAACTGGGCAGTTGTGTCCGGGATAGCGTGATGTATTATCGACATTAAACGTCAATGGGGACATGCAACGGAGTGCGTCACATTGACTTCATGGACACAAGAGCAATGGGATTGAAGCTTTGCAGGTGTCCCCAAATAACGGAGGTACGAACCATCCCAAAACTCCTGTTTGTTGAGATTAAAGCCATACTTCCTCAATCGGTGACACGTTAGCCAGCTCGATGATCCCTTCTCACACAGAACATCAATACTGTTGCGCGGGGCCTCGGAGGAATTGCTCATCGCCACCTCCATCCGAGCAAGTTGTGCCCGACGTGTCGCCTCTCTCAAATCAGCCTTAGCCTTACTGACTAAAGTCAAGGCACTTACGAGGATCCTCTCTCCAGTCAAAATCCTGTTGCTGAGCGACTCATTGATGCGGGTAGAAGAAGCAAACTGTGCACTCAAGGTCTGAGCACTCAAGGTCTGTGCACTCAAGGTCTGTGCACTCAAGGTCTCACTCAAGGTCTGTGCACTCAAGGTCTGTGCACTCAAGGTCTGTGCACTCAAGGTCTGTGCACTCAAGGTCTGTGCACTCAAGGTCTGTGCACTCAAGGTCTGTGCACTCAAGGTCTGTGCACTCAAGGTCTGTGCACTCAAGGTCTGTGCACTCAAGGTCTGTGCACTCAAGG